GGTTTATGGTTTCAAAAAATGTCAAACCGCAAGCATTGTAGTTTGCCGTTTTGACTATAAACCGCACCGTGCACACCCCTAGTATTACGGACTGAATATAGACTATGCTTCACTACTATGGGAATAATTTGGGACCTCGATTTCACATTGCAAACTAGTAACTAGAGTGGAGAGTGCTAGGTTTTGGGGGTTAATTTTGAAGGAACTTTACAGCCAAGAAAATATTCTTATTCCATCAGGGGTTGTTACAGTTGAATTTCAAACAATGACAGTTCCTAAGATGATTGTGGATGATGCTACTATTTTTCCTGTTGTTACAGATTCGATGCTCACTCTAGTGGACCCTAAGAATCAATTGTTGGTGGAGTATTTGGCTTCCATTGATTCGACTCCAACTGGTGTTCTTCCTCCGAAGGTTTCTCAAAAAGTGGTCGAATTTTCATCAAAAGGGTCTAAGGTTCCAAAGACGAAGAAACAAACGTCAAAGCTCAAAGATGTATAGGAGGAGTTTGTTAAAGAGACTATACCCACGGAGACTGGAAAAGGCATACTTAAACGAACTAAGAAACCATCAAAGAAAACTTCTGATTCTGTAATCACGAAACCTACTCAAAGTCTAGAGCCCGTTGTCGAGACTGTTGAGCCCATGGTTGTTGAAACTTCTGTTCCAAGTATAACTATAATCACACATGAAAGTGAACCAATTGGGAAAAAGCGTGGTTCAAAAAGAGTTAAGAAGTTACAGTTTACCAGAAGTGGAGTTGTAATTCATGAGGTTCCGAGTCCTGGTTCCCCAACAACAAAAAAGCGTCGAGCTATAGATGTTGTGCAAAAGATAAAGAAGAGAAAGAATGATCATGATAAAGTTCGACTTAAGGAAGTAACAGTCGAGATTAAGAATGATAGTGATAGCGACAGTTCACACATTCGAATTGAGGATTATTTTATTGGATCACCACGAAAGGATACCCCTATCAAATCGAATTTAGAGGAGACAAGGATACCTGATGTTCTTGCAAAAGTATCTGATACGGGTGTAAACATCGATTCGGGTGACAAACAACAAACTGACATCCCTGAGAAGGCTTTAGTCAAACCATCCAGGGTTTTGCATACTGAGTCCTTAAGGGAGGAGGTCGAAACTCCAGACATCACTGTGAACTTATCTAATAAGGACACAAATGTCAACATGGATGAATGGATGATCAATGTCGAATCTACTGCCATAACTTCCATTGCAACTTCAACAGTTTTACCACCACCAATATCACCCATTCCTACTTTCGTTTATGTTTCTACTGTCTCACCAACATTTTTTGGTGTTATGAAAGAATCCATCTTAACTCTTTTCTCCTCACAATCAACTGAGAAGTCACTTCAAGGAGATTAAGATGATGATGAAAATGTCATGGTTTCGTTTGCATAGATTCAATTCAATCCATAAGAAGATGATATTCCTGATGAACTAATCATGTCAGGTAAGTAATTCAAGATTCTAAACTCAAAGATTGATTCTCTTCTTCAAATTATAGCTACTACTAGAGGGAAGAATTAGGTGACTGGTGTTGGAATGGATTATTTTTTGAAAGCTCAAGAATCACGATTGCAGAATTTGATTGAGGGTCTTGAGAACAAACAAGAAGAACGATTGGCTATTCATTCAAAGAGTTTTGATTATGAGATTCAAAAGCTTATTGATGTTGCTAAGGAACACCATGAAATTTTTATGCAAAAGGTGAATGCAACGGAGGAGTCTCTTGATCTCAAGGTTTCTGAGATACAATCTTTGATGTCGGAAGAAGTCAAGAAGCTACAGGAAAATTACAATTTGTTGCATAGAAAAGTGGATGTTATTGTTGGTGCAATAACTTGTTTGGTTGAGTTCAACAACGAGTATACAAAGGAGCTTCAAGCTAAGTCTAAGAAGGACGAAAAGGTATTTGACAAAGGGGAGGAATTCTTGTATGGGATTAAATACATTTTATTGAAGGTGGATCTTTCGAATCAATCTGCCATCTCTCAAGAATCAATATCAAAGATGGTTTCGATTATTGAGTCGAACATCAAAGCTGAGCTAGCTCCAATCCTTAGTTTGGTACTTCGTTTACCAACAAATGCTACTCGTGTTGCGCAAGTTTCGCAAGGGGAGAAAAAGGAGTTGGAGGAGCTGGATCTTCAAAAGTTTTTGGTGATGATACAGGATTCGTTGTTGGGAAGGTTATTTCGACTCAAATTCCAACAACAATCCCTATGCAGCGTATAACTGTATCTTCGACAACAACCTCTACAACATCGAATGTGCCAAAAGTTCCATTGAAAGGGATTTCTATCAAGGAGGGTGAAGGGGGTTCGAGTACTGCTCTTGTCAAAACAACCTCAATAATTGATCTGAAAGACAAAGGAAAGGTCATTCTAATTAAACAATCGCATTAGGAAAAGAAGAAGTTACAAGCAACAGAGTTGGAACATCAACGACAAATAAACAACATTCTTCGACAGAGAGAGAATGACCCACCAGGATTGAACAAAGGTGATCCAAACAAGCACCGGTGTTACGAAACAATAGAAATAGTTGTTTTAGGGAAGAATGATGAATTTCTCAAAAGACCAAAGAAGAGTTTTGAGACTGAAAATTCTGATTTTAATCAACTCGATTTTCCGATCAATTATATGCTTTTCACATCTCCACAGTTCAAATTTGCAGAAAACTTCAAAGACAAAAGTGAATACAAAAGGCTGAAAATTCGCTTTCATCCAATCTAAGGAAAGAATGAAGATGGTGTATGGTCTTTGGTGAAGATCGTGAAGGTAATGAAGATTGAAAGGGATACTTTGTTCGAGGGTTTGCTTCAGAATTTTTGTTATTCTGTTGTAAGAGAAAATAATGTGGAGTCTGAGTTCACGATTGCTGATTTTCCCCTGATGAATTTGAATGATCTTATTTCAATCACGAAGATATTGATCAATGTGGATGTGTCGAAGATTCTGGAGATGAACAAAAATGACTTCATTCTCAGATTTAGTCATATTAAGGCTTATCTGGATAGCTACTATGATTACTTGGCTATTACAAATATTGATCTTGCCTTAGCTATCAAGAATACTGCGAAAGTGCCACAAAATCCGACGAAGGAAATATTAAATATTAATGAATTTGAAGACGGTGAAATCATTCATCAGCCTTATGGTGTGGTATTCCAGGGAAAGAACAAGAAATGGAATTTGTCGTAGTTTTTGTTTCACGTGTCTGATCTGGAAAGATATACAAATTCCCATTTCACAAATATCTTGGTTCGAATCAACAATTGCAAAAAGAATGACGATGGAGATAAGGAAAAGATAAGGAAGATTATATTGTGGTATATGGAAGTTCGAAGAGAGCTTTTACAGAAAATGAAGATTATAGCTTGGTGTTTCGACTGTTATCACTAAGGGGAGATTGTAGAATCGAAAGTTGTTTAGTGAGAGTCGAAAGCTGAATCTTTCATTTGTTGTCTGTATATGTTGAAAGTAGTTGTACTTTCGATATAGTATCTATTTACAAGGCATTGTATGTTTCGTTATGTCACGTTTAGTCCTTGTGCTTTTTGAGTCTGTTGTATCCTATAAATAGGATAAGTACCTACAGTTAGAGTAAGATTTCGGATATTCAGATAACATTTTGTACTCTCTCTCTTTGTATTCTTCAAACGATATATTGAGTCAATTAGATCTTATTTAGATCTCGTGTCTTTTATTACTTTTTCTGAATTGATTACGACTTTAATCAATTGATACACACTTCATTAATATTTCAGTGGGGTCCACTTTGAAAAATTGTTATGATAGCACTGATGTGGATGGTAATTGCAAAAGCTAATGTGTATCATTTGAAAGATAAATGGTACTGCATTGATGTAGATAACCTTAGATTCGATAACAGCTCTATAAAGCAGAAACCTAACACGTATCGGTACCATAAACACATCCTTTTCAAAATTTGAATATACTTCTCCTCTATACTTTCTTGATTCTCAAAGAACCCTCAAGTTAGTCTACCACCACCATCATTACCGTCATATGCATTTATCACCGCCGTCCACCAATGCTACTGTCACACTAAATAATCGCCACTTCTTATCCTCTCCATCTTTCTATCCTTGGACACACCACCAAAGCACCACCACAATAACCTCCATCACACCACTTAATTTACACTCACTAACCCTTACTTTATTACCATTACAACCTTCTCTGTCACCGACATTCACCTCAAACTACTAGCCTTACTCAAATTCTCAAGAAAAACGAAACATAAGAAATGTCTCCAGAATTTGGGAGATTATAAGATTTTTAGCCCAAAATCGAATTGTTTTTTTTGATATATTGGCTAGATGGTAATTTTCGGTGTTCTTTTCCTCATGAGGCTTCAACCAGTTCAATTTTTCTTTTTCGTTTTTTGATTTTGTGCCCTAAATCGATTTGTTTTTATTGAAGCAAGATTAATATATTTTTTCTGGATGTATTGCATAGATATTTTAACCTGTAATCTTTTTCTTTTTAATATATCGGGTTCTATTTTTTATGATAATGAAAATGGAACCCATATCTGTAAACGATCAAATAAAGTGTATCGTTTCACCTTCATTTTATATCTATTTATTTAATGGTACTCATATTTAGAATTCGTGTATAAATATCAAATATGACATTTGAAAACGAAAAAGCATCATAAATGGTCCTTGTGGTTTCCCCAAATCTGAATTTTAGTCCCCATGGTTTAAAAACATCATAGATGGTCCATGTGCTTTCAAAAGTTTTGACGATTGGTCCTTATTGCTAACTCCGTTAAGTTGTGTCCGTTAACTGAATGGCATTTTCGTCATTTCACTACCACATGGACTATTTATGATGTTTTTTTTTTTTTTTTAAAAAAAATGAAATAATATGCAAAGGGGGACCCCCCCTCCCCCCCCCCCCCCCCCCTCTCTCTCAAAAAAGTCAAAAACCACCCCGATTAATTAGGTATGGTTCATCTTTAACGTGAAACTCAACTTGCTATCCCCACGTTTCATGCCACCAAGCTAAAAAGAAATAACAAAATCAAGCCAATATGGAACCAAATCAAGGTGGAATGAAATGAAACCAGAAGTCAAGAATCCTACCTTACAACCAAGAGAACAAAATCGGAAAGCATCAACAAGGCTCCGACCACAAATCTCACAGTGGTGGGTGACGCCTTTTCTTGGCCTAGGCTGAGGACGCTCGTTCCAGAACATGATCTTGGCACTGTTGATAATGTATGTTTGCACGCATGATATGTATAAATACCCTTGAATTTCATTCACCCTCACCATGTTATGATAAGAAGAACGCCTTATCTATTCAAAATTTTAACATCCTAGAATTTGTCACAATATGTTCAGAGTATGCCATGGATTTGAATTTTTAAATGATGTTTGAAAGTTGATTAGTTACCTGAACAATATGATGATTTTTGTGATGAATCAAACAATAGGGACATATGCAATTTTCACAGCTATCCAAACAGAACAGATTTCATTCACTTTTACTAGAATCTCCATGGAAACGACAGGTTGCAAAGTAGTCAGCTCTTAGCATTGGCATCAACCATGAAGGTCCAAATTCTTTAATCTCCATTCTTTCCACCTAATCACCCCAATAATTTATCCATATTAGTTCTCATAACAAAGGGGGAGTCACAAAGTAGAACAAAAGATAATAATAATAATAATAATAATAATAATAATAATAATAATAATAATAATGAATGTGCTTTCTACGAATGCTCAGTTCTAGCATCAAAGAAAAAGAAAGAAAGGGACCACTTGTTTTTGGAGGCTAGGGTTTAAAGCTTCAATCTATAGACTGTCTTTCTTCAAAAACCCAAATCAGAAAGAAAAAAAAAACATAACAAAAAAGATTCGACATACCCAATTAATCGGGGTGGTGTTTTTTCATAAAATTAATACTACAAACTATAATAATGAGTTTCCTTAATTTGTCCTTCAACGTGCACATATATTTGAAAATACACCCTTGATATTTTATAATATTTACTTTAAACTTTAGTGAATATACTTTTTTGTTATATGTTTAAAAAGAGTTTTATTTAGGGACATTGACTTATCAAGGTAATTACTTTTATGTTTTTTTCATATCTAGGTATCTTTTTTTGTATACATCTAGTTAACGAACTTGTTGAAAGTGTTCATATATGACAATTATGACCGGCTTTAGCAAGTTACAGTCGTTCATAATGGTCATTTGTAAACAATTCCAACAAGTTTATTACCTAGATGTATACAAAAAACAAAAAACCACCTAGATGTGCACAAAACAAAAAGGAAATTTCCCTGATAAGCCAATTTCCATTTTTATTAAGGCGATCGATCATACTGTTTATACTATTAATACATTCTGCTAAAATTCCTTAAAACGATATTTTTTTTGAATGGCAGAGCTTTTATTAAAAGACTAGCAAGAAGCTAGCAAAAAGAAACCATTATAACACAATAGAGGCTAAAGGAGGTTTATGGAACCAATTGTTCCAACCATGCTTAGCTTTGCTATATCTATTGGAAATCCAAAAAAAAGCCCTATCAATGATATCATCAAAAAGACTAGATTTCCTAGGGAGAACCGTTCCAAACAGACTGAAATTTCGAAAATTCCACAGACACCAAAAAGTCGTCAAGACTACCGCATCAAATTCTTTTTGTTGACCTCCCCGCAACTCGATGGTTTTAGACCAAGATAAAATTGAAGGAATGGAAAGCATCAGGTTATTGGACATTCCACCATATAGCAACCCGTCTCCAAATGTCAACCAACTCAGCGCAACCTGTAACGTGACAAATGATAGAATCTACTTCAATACCCCGATAAGAGAGCCTCTCCTAGTATAAATAATATAAAGCCTGATTCTCCATATAAGAATATGGATCTTAAAGGAAACCCAACTATTCCACCTAGTCTCAACTCCAGTCATATCCAACATACCATTATCGATACAAGCACGAGCCGGTGAGACGGAGAAAGAATTAGAGACATCATCCAACCAACCCAATCTATCTGGAGTATACTGTAACTAAAAGTCTTGTAAAAGATCCATAAGATCTTTCCACTGAGACTGCTCAATACCACTCCTCGGTAAACGTTGAATGTTGTTCGGACCCCACCTTAACGAGACCTGATCTCTAACAATAGCCAATCTATGATGATCCAGTGTAAACATCTTCTGGAAAGAAACTTCAAGAGGCAAATCAATCAACCATTTGTCCTACCAAAAGGACGTATTGTCCCCGTTCCCAACTCTAATAGGATACATATCCATAATATCAATCTTATGATCCCGAAGATTGGCAATCATACGAATGACACTATTCCAAGGGCATGTGCTAGAAGGTATTAGGAATCAAATAAGAACATCTACCATCCGAGCCATAAATGGATTTGACAACCCGCACCCAAAGAAAATCTGGAGCATGAAAGAAATGCCATCTCCATCTGAAGATCATTGTCCTATTGAAGGCAAAATCAAGCCATAACTCTTTCCCATTTAACCCAATGCATCCTCTCTCATCCAAGTCGGCTCCCCAGAAAAATCTAGCCCTCAAAGATTCCAAAGATCTAAGAACCGTAATCGGAGTAGGGAAAACAGACATCAAATAACTTCCCAGGGAACCCATAATAGACTTAATCAAAGTAAGACAACCAGCAACCGACAGGCATTAGCTTTCCACCCTGCAAGCCTGGTATGAAATCTATTAACAATGGAGGACCAATCATTCACCCTCGCCATGTTTTGACCTACCAGAACCCCAAGATGAATAAACGGAAGAGAATTGGACCCACATCCCATACAACCACCCATATTCGAAAGTTGAGAAGAAGTAACCCCAATTCCAATCAATTTACTTTTTTTGCAAATTGATTTTGGGACTCGAAGCCATGAAGAAGCATTGCATAATACGAACAATATGTTTTGCATTATCCCTAATCCAAGGTGAAAGCATAAAACATCATCCGCATAAAGAAGATGCGAGATCTATATGCCACTAATAGAAATACTCCTAAGAACATTGGCCAACCGAGCCCTCTATAAAGCCACATGTAAACCCTGCATCACCAAAATGAAAAGGAAGGGGGAAAGAGGACCCCCTGTCTCAAACCTCTTTGAATCTGTAATTCATATGTAGGAGAACCATTAATTAACACTGAAGCTCTAAAAAAACTCAATAACTCCATGATCCACCCACGCCATTTCTGCCCAAAACTCATAATATGCATAATTTCAAAAAGGTAGTCCCCCGAAAGACAATCGTAAGCCTTTTCAAAATCCACTTTAAACACCAAAAGAGGATTCTTCGAAATCTTAAACCAAGAAACCACCTCACTTAAAAAAAAGGGTCCATCTAAAATTCGTTTGCCTTTAATAAAAGTAGACTGTTCCAAGCTCACCACAGAACTAATAACCTCAACAAGCCTATTAGCTAAAAGTTTACCAATAATTTTATATTGGCACCCAATTAATCTAATAGGTCTAAAATCTTTAACATTTTTCAAGTCTCAAACTTTTAGAATAACAGTAAAAAAGGATGCATTGCACCCCACAGGAATATCCGAGTGGGAGTGAAAATGAGTAACACAATTCACCACATCATCTTCAATAAGATACTAATACCATTTAATAAATCCAAAGGAAAAACTATCTGGACCGGACGCTTTAGAAGACCCACAGTCCCAAACTACTCGTTTAATTTCATCACGGGTATAAGGGGCATGGAGCAACTGCACCTAAGAATCCGAAATAATAGAAAAATGAGACGTGTACGTCTTAGGTCTCGGACCCGTCTACCGAGAAAAGAGAGACTCGTATAATGAACGAACCTCCTCTTTAACTAAGTTTGG